TTTACAACGTTTAGAATTAATTAGTTAGCATCCTTAATGGGGAATCGTATTAAATTATAAACTCGTATGTCTTACCGTGTAAAATTTTGCAAATTAAAAATCGCGATGGAATCGGTTATGGAATTTTGTAAAGTATTTATCACGATTTGCCCTTTCACCTTTTGGCTCGATCGTGTGTATCGTTATTCGAAGACTTATATTTATTTACATCCGAATGAACGGGTTTATCGCACATACACGTATGGGAGGTATTCTAATATTCATGTTACACAAAGATCGGACTCTTCTCGCGTTGCCTAAGTGGAACGGAAAGAAGTGTGAAGACGGTTTAACAGCACTGCATTATTTTCCTGTTACTTGCGGCAGCCACGGTATCCGGGTGTGAAATGTCGTAACGACGTGTTAAAACGAACTAACATCCATGCATATCATTAACAAATGTCTACGGGACTGTTTGGCTTTGATCGGTACCAGACTCATCGGTTCCCATTAACCATATGCAAACCAGTTCGCCGGCTCAATGATTTTGATCATTCGGCTACTCGTTAATGCAACCGGGCAATAATGCTACTAAATACGAGGCAATGGATTCTTCTTATACGAGTTTACAGCGCTTAACGTCCCGTTTCCATGGAAGTTACTTTCCCGTGGGATATACGGAGAAACCAAAGTCGCGGCATCCGAACTCATCTGCTTTGCATGAAAATCGTTCGTTTAGCAGCGCTAACGCATCGACTCGCTAACAGGTTCGAGAATTATGAATTTTCGATGATTCCCACGTTTTTCACTTTTTTTTTTCGATGTATCTTCGGTTTTTTTTTTCAAAAGTCACAGTACCCTGAAAGACATTATAAACGTGTTATCGTTATACATCTAATTTCGTATATGAAAAAAAAAAATTTATTTTTTACTCACTCTCGAAAACCTCGAAACTTTGATTTTATATTTTTTCGGACAAACCTGTCATTTTCGAATTTTGACTTGATCGCGTGGTTCACGAGTATCTCCACTCGTAGAAATTTATTACCCTCCGTCATTTTTTTTTTTTTTTTTTTTTTTTTTTTTTTTTTTTTTTTTTTTTTTTTTTTTTTTTTTTTTTTTTTTTTTTTTTTTTTTTTTTTTTTTTTTTTTTTTTTTTTTTTTTTTTCCCGTTATACCAACCTAACCGAAGCAAACTCGGGCAATTTTTTTTTTCGTTTTCTCAAAATTTTTCTCCTTCAAACACCGAGGAAGCAGAATCACTCGAGCGAGCAAATAGTCACAATATTGCCTGCCTACGAACCGGCAGTCCCATAGAAACGCGGTTACGATATTTGCCGTACGTGTCGCCGTCTACTTTGAGTATACATGTGCGCGACCTGGCTGTCGCTACCGCTCTCTTATGGGATCTGAAGTTCGATTCTGTGGTATCTTTTTTTTTTTCATGTATATCCACTAGATCTACCATCCACCAGTACCTTGTCGCATTGTTGGCGCTGAATGTGGTAAAAGTCAGAAAAGAAAAGAAAAAAAAGAAACTAAATAACCAATGACAAATTTACCTAACGACGTGACTATTAGGTTCCACGCGCAAGTTGGAAGACGCGCCGAAGGGTCACGCGTGGCGGAACGCCGCGCATCGTATAGCAGTCAGCGGTAATAAGTTCGTTAGAACGGGCAGGCTTGTAGTCAGCAATCATCACTCGATCATCGGTATGGTGCGGCGCAGCGTTGATTGGGAAGCGGGAAGCCATTAGGAGCGATTCCGGTTGGGTAGGTGTGTACTGAATATTCCCGTGGATCGTGAGTGCAGGAGTGCGTGAGTGCGTGAATGCCCAAGTAATCAGTATATGTATTAAACTCGTATTCCTATATTACATACAGAGAGTGGAATACAGTCTTACCTCTCATACGGACACCGGAACGACCATACGTGGTTTCTAAGAGTTCGCGGATCATTAAGCATTGGCCATATTTCTTGAGGAGATAATAATAAATTTTTTGAAAATTTTTTTTTTCACTTCACTTTCCTACTCGTATTTTCTCTAATTCCCAATACCTAGAACAAGGGTTACGGTCGCGTGTCTTGAGAACCGTCATTGTTGCAGTTAGTTGTCCCGAAGCGTTTATACGACTGGGACTCCGTTGACAGCCAAGAATAATTTTCTGACGAGACGACCGACTGTCAATTGTCAGTCAGAAGAGTGATGACTCCATGAAAGCTCGTGGCTAATCGATGAACTTTGGGAAAAGTGCTTATCGTTATTACGAACGCATCGATCGTCGAGTTGAATAAAATTTTTTTTTTTTTTTAATATCGCCGCGGTATCCCACGCACGCGTTGAAGGATAGGACGTCAGTCGGTTGAAACGAACGTCGACTTTGAATCAGATGGAATAACTTAGTTAGCGAGGGTACTTACGTGGGCCCCGAGTAAGGCCCCAAATGTTGGTTACCGATATATCGAATGGTGGAATCAAGATTTGAATAATTTTAATGAGCGCCTCGATGCCTGTCGTTCGTATTTGAAGAATTCGATAATAATTGTCACGTCAGAGAACGGGCCCCGATTGCTCCTGTCACGCGTATATCGCCTCTCTATCAGGCCCCACGTCAACACGACCTCGGGACGAGTGATTACGATGTCATATGGCGATCGAACGATATTCGTTCCATTTATCCTCGCGCTTTACACTGGGGCCCTATGGCCCCTTTCGCTGGCACGGGTCGGACTGGGGTACGCGGGGAATTTGAAGCACGGAAGCGTCAGGAAGCTATCTTCGATTCGCTCCGGGAGAAGCTGTTTTGTTTTCACCCGGCCAAGGAAGAAACCTCGCGGATTATCACAGGGGCCCATCTCGCCGATCGACACCTCACCGCATGAAAGGGCCTTAGGGCAAACGTGGCGAGAGCCACTTTCGGTATAAGGCCGCTGCGGCATTCCTACCGCGAGGTACTGCTGGAAAAAAGGCCCCCCGCCACCTCCCCCCTTGTTTGGATGATTATGGTACCGAGGAGCCAAAGATAGCGTTAAGGCCCCCTTATCTTTTGGGCCCTTCTCTCTCTCTCTCTCTCAATTCCTTTAATCCCAAGTCCCGCTCCACCTCGATATTCCCTTGGTTCGGCGACGGTGCTGCCAATGGCCGCGGCAGGACCCAGATACGATCGGGCCCTGCAAATTCAGCAGTACCGACGAGAGTTACTGCCACCATAAAATTCCAGGCGTTTAACGATGACAATAATTTATTGGATATTTCGGTAGCCGGCGGACAGTGACCCCCGCGGTACCACGGTGCCGCTTTGGGGGATCCGGATGATCGAGGAAGAAGATAATGGCATCGGGGACGGGTCCATTTATTGGGCATAAATCTAAGGTCTAACGCCGTCGCTGCCTTATTTAACGTAGCCTCTACGTATATCCTACCGTTTAATACGGAATGGCCGCTAATGCCCAATGTCCAAAGATTAATATATCGCGGACGGAAGCTTTACCGTAGTGATTTACTGCCTAATTACGAGGGAACCCACTACCCTCGGCCAATCGGTCGAGTAAAGTAAAGTCGATCGAAATCGGCTTTCGTTGGTGTATAACGTCTTTGTGATTAGTTGCGTAAAAAGAAAAATATTTTTTCACTCTCTGTATACAGGAATGCGGTACAGGTTAACGATTCAATCGATTTTTACGATCTTGGCTTTCGATTAACTTATTTTCGATTTCTTCAAAAGTTCCCAAGTATTTTTTTTATCGAGCTCGGCGAGCATCGTCATTTTTATGACAAAATACACTGTGCCAAAGTCGTCTTGTGCTTCGAAACTTGCAAATTATATTCAAACCTTATTCAAATCGGCATCCCGTACATTGTGAACGTGACTTAAATCGATTAACCATTATTCGATCTCTTTTAACGATTATCCTTGAATGTACGTTGCTTCGCGAATACAATTTTACTTCCGCAAACAAGACCGAACGTAGCTGTGAGATTGTGTAACTTTTTTTTTTTAGGTTGTCAGTGAAATAAGACTAGTAGCCACAGGGACTACTGGCAATAATACGAATGCCAGTGCCGTGTCAATGAGTACATAACCTGTCGCCATAAACCCTATACGAATGGACTGTCCGCAAGTAGCCATGGCATGATACTCGGGCGTCTTTACTGCCAATTAGAAATCCTTCCTTTTTACGTTAAGAAGTCTTCTTCTTGCGCGGTCTCCCGAGAGAACACGTAACGCGCATGCGCGTTACTTACGGTAGGCATATCGTTAGCCATCTGTCGGCGAGTCGTAAAAGTTATGAAAATGCGAAATCGCATTTAAATATGAAAATAGTTGCGGGTACATATGTAATTTTGACTCCGGGGTTAGCGTCGTGTTTTACGATGTATTAAAATCAACGTTTTTTTTTTCCTCAGCGGAAAGAATCTCGGAAAATATATAGCAAACGATCCCAAAACGATCAGGCGTTATAATGGGCAAATCTTCACGGGACTGGAGGCCAACGGCGCATTAACGTTGACCTGCTCGTAATTTTCCTGATCCTCCGGGTCGCGTTCACCTCATTTACGCGGAGCTACGTTGTCCGGGTTTCTGTACGGTGTGTATACCGCTTTACGTGGGTATGCTAGGGGGGTGTGCCTATGTCCTGTGTATACCTACGTAACCCGGTGGGCGTGCTTGCTCCAAGTGAGATTGTAATTTGTGCGGAACGAAGATCCGAAGGTCGAGCCGCGTCGGCAATTACATTGTAGGTACCGCTCATACCATGGAGGCTGGAACTACCAGAGTGACCTCTGACCCTGGGATATTCTTTATTCTATGGTGTAGCAGATAGCGGTGATGGTGGCGTCGGTAGCAGTAGCGCGGTAGCCGTGCAACAGAGAAGGACGGGCAGACGTGTGTAATGAACGACTGAGAGGAAGAAGAGGAAGAAGAACAATGGGGCTCCGAGATGAGAAAATATAATGGAAGAATTTTGCTGTATAATGGGCATCGTGTCGAACTTGGTATTTGGCTTTTTTTTTCAGGTGAGGTGTCGGGCGAAACCGTGTCAGCAGGGACGGGACCGCGTGGCGTCGGCGTCAGCGTCGGCGGCGGCGTCGCCGGTGCTGGGGATCGTGCCGATACTACGGATCTGGGCACTCGTACCGATAATAACGACGGTGACACCCTGGCCGCTAACACAGCTATCGACGCCAGGGGCGGCAGCCCCCAGGGCGCGCATTTATCAGGCGCCGCGACCCCACGACCTCCCAGAAGTCGCAGGAGACAGAATCAGAACGGGCTCGATATTACTCAGGTAACCGATATCCAATATGAGATTGGGGATTTTTTAAAAAAAATTTTTTTATTTTTCGACAATTCCAAAATTATGTTTTTTTTCGAGTATTTCAATTTTGACGAAATTTTTTTTTCCAATTTTCCTGATTTCTCTCGGGCCCCCAAGGTTCACGTTCGAGAGCCTATGCACGTTCTCTGATGGACGTTCGCTTGTATCCTACGTAGTGTTGTTCTGACGTCTCGACGCCAGGTTCTCTCTCGGAAGAGACGAGAGACGTCTACGGCTTTGGGTGCCATACGACTAGCGTTGACTCGAGTCAAGTCGAGTCTCAACTCGAGTCAACTTGAGGCGAGAAAGATATTTACTGTCGGTCGTACGCAGCGGTACTCCTGGGACTCTATTCTACGCCAATCGACTCTCGTCTTTCTTAGTGTCACGCTGTGCCCAGGAGAGGAGTCAACTCTCTTACGCTACGCGTTGCCTTCATTACCATATCTCAGATGCAATCTGTTACCGGGATTAATGTACCGAGATATTTCCAACGTTACGTTGAGATCTCTGTAAGTGAATCCATGGGAGGGCCCCGTAGCTAGGATATACCTTGACTAGCTTTTTTTTCTTTTTTTTTTTTTTTTTTTTTTTTAAATTTCTCTGTAAGTGAATCCATGGGAGGGCCCCGTAGCTAGGATATACCTTGACTAGCTTTTTTTTCTTTTTTTTTTTTTTTTTTTTTTTTTTTTTTTTCTTAAATTTATCTACGTTTCTCATTCTTTACCTATCGGGTTACTTAATACGAGGTCGTCGATCCTCTTTCAGGTGAAGACGGAACGACTTACACCGGACAATAATTCGACGTCGTCCAGGAGCGTGACGCCCTCGTCCTCAAGTCACCCTGGCACCCCACCTAACAGTACAGCCCTGGGTGGTGCTGAAGGTCCACCGCCACCCCATCATCTCAAACATATGGAACAGATGATGGGACGGAATTACAGTGACTTCATGAGGAGTCTGGCTGCCAAGTATAATAACGCCAATCCAAACGAGTGAGTGAAGTGAACAAATTTTTTTGACTACTTCCGCTTTCATTCACTCTATTGATTTTGTATATATGCATACCAATTACTTTCCATTTTTTTCTTTTTTCATATTAATTCAGCTACTTCAGCAGTCCGCGAAACGGATTCCCACCGGGTTTGGATCCGAGGTTTCCGGCATTCAAAACTGCCGCCACGCCGTTCGTGGGTCTTATGGCGCCACTTGGCGCACCCCAACCGCCAAGCGTCCCGACGACCTCGCCGTTGTCCAACAAAGACCCCAAGGAACAGAAGCAAGAGAGTCTCTTCGGGAATCCCGTCTTTCCTCCCATGCTGGACATGTCCTCGACGCAGGCTCTGCTGCACATGGTGCGAACAGCCAACGCGGCCCAAAATGCAGCCGAGTTGGAGACCTACCTTAAAGGTACGTCCATGCCATCCAGTCCGGCGTACCTCGCAAAAGAAAAACTGGTCCCAAGACTGATTTTCCCAATTGACACGTCAGGTGCCAACAAACGGGACACTGGCGTGACCAGTCCTCTGGATCTGTCCAGTCCAGGTGGATTCGCACCGCGTAAGAGACCAAGAACGGAGCTGAGGAGGCCCGGAAGCGTCTCTCCAAAACCAAAACCAGTACCCAGGCCAAGTACACCGCCGCCCATAAGGTGTCCGTCCCTATGCGGTCACATGCCATGCGGGGATGGACAGGCAGTTAATCGATGGACGATCGAGGAAGTAGTGAATTACGTATCGTCGATCGACATCTGTGCGGAGTACGCCCAGGTAGGATTTTTTAAATTTCACTTTTTATCCCCATTATTTATTTACTTTTCACGTGCCCGTACGTATGCCCACACAGTCAGGTTCTGTAATCGCTTAAATGACTGGCGAGTGGGCGGTCGAAAAATGTCGGACACGTCAAAGCGAATCGTCATTGGTCGATGATCGAGTGCCTTGAGAAACTTCATATGTTCTAATGACCCCTGAAGAAGCCGAGGTAGCGACTGACTTCCACTCATCCGGCTCCTTCACGACCCGGACTCGAACTCGGCGCACCACTGTCCTCACGTCCACACTTTCTCTCAACCCAGGAGGTGAAATTCCCTCGCGAACGTGATCGCGCCTTCCACACATATCCGTTCGCGTTATAATTTTTCTTCACGACTACCCAAAGCCCACGCCACTCGTTACTTCCTGAATCTAAGGAAAACGACATACGCCACAGGCCACGGTCTCGATCTCTTTATACCGGAGACAATGCACTTTACTTCACATATCTATATTTATACGTATGACCAAATACACCCCTTGCCTGTATCGTATACCTACACTCGTCTTCCCGTTGAACGTTCTCCAACCGCGCAAAGGATCCCAGTAACTGTTTACGCGTACACCGATAAATCGGCGTGTACTTAGAAGCGTCTCGCAGTCACGGCTATAAATTCGCGGATACGTACCGCGCCGATTAAGCTATGAATATTTATGAATTTCTTGCGGCCCGTCGAAACGGGAGAGATTCGAGAATTTCGTAAGAGGCCGAAGGCACGTATGGCCAGGGAGATGAGAGGTAGTAGGACGTGGATAAAAAAAAAAGAAAAAGAAAGAACAGCAATAAATAATCAGTAATCAGATGAAAAAAATCGGTATCCCGATCCGTAAATGATAAATACGACGTGTAACGTCGTATGAATTTTCTCGTAAAAACAAGGAGAGTGCGCATGCGCGCCTTTAACCGTTAAAGGGACTTCTTATGGATCCCGCGCAATTAGAGCACCGTACGACCCGGTGCTATTGCGCAAAAGTAAAAGCGATCCTTAATGGGCATCCATCGATCTACGGGTTCCGCGGATCCTCGGCGCTCTAAGGAGTTCGCGATAATCGCCGAGCGACAGGACTATCGCGAAAACCTTAACGATCCCTGCAGCGCTCGGGACTGATACGTTAATACGTATCCCAGCCGCGTCGCTCTTCGTCATTAGCGAACCTGGCGGCGAACGCGGCAATTAGAGCGCGGCCACGCTTATGGAACTCTTATGGGATCGCGTATGCAGATCCACAGCGGGTATAACGTTGCGCAAGAGCTACGCTCGCGTAATCGTAACGTCGTACGTGTCGCCGAACGGAGAAGGGTCCCTGATAACTATGTAGGTGTAACTTATGGTAACAAGGGACGTACTGCCAGGAGACAGGCAGTCGAGGTTGAAGCATACGTGGATACACGTGCATACACACACTAGATGCACTATGCTGGGACACGGGGGGGAGGAACAGTGCAACGTTATTTCGCTCGTTAGAAAGTCATGAATGTGGAGCTCGAGTTCTTACGTCTTCCGTGATATGTTATACACACACGTTTTACCCTCTTCCCATCCCACGCGGACTCAAAGCTGAAATATCGATTCGATCCGATTCGATCTCATGGAAATCAATAAATAGTATCGACAGTCGTTCGATATTAATAACGAGTTCGATTATTATCGATTTTTTTTTATACAGCCCGATACGATCGACGAATTAGGTTCGTGTTGGATTTTTTAAAAATTTTTCTTCGATTTTCAACTTCCAGCTGTTGGATGTGTTACCGATCGAGGAATCGAGGATTCGCCGACAAGTCTAGTCATACTTTCTAACGATTCGGTCCGGAGCATGATCTGACCCGGGACGACCTCTTGTTCGAGCTCAGTTAACGTGTAACACCTTCGCGCCTCTAGCGGCCGATCGATTAATCACTGATAAGCGATAGTGCCTGCAAGCCGCTCTCTATATACGTATGGTCTACGTACGATCGACAGCGATCGCAATCGGCTCGATCGCTCGTTTCGGATATGCAAATCGATCCTGAACGTATTAAAGCTCCCGGCTCTCTATGGGCTTCCGACAAAGCGTGGCCATGCGGTTTCGATTCGTTGCTTTCGTTAATGGCCGGCATCCGGACGCGTGGTCAGCCCTGGTCTCTGGGTCCTACACCATTGCACTAAGTATATGCTATTACCGTGGTATAACTAGCACCAGTGCTGACTCTGTTAATTATCTTGAAAGCCACGTGCGCGATTTCTCCTCTGATTCGATTCTGTTGGATTGCTTTGATCTTGGGATGATATTTGAGAGATATCAGTGTTCGTTATTTTTTTTTTTTTTTTTTTTTTATTATTAAACTAATTCCATTCGATGCCATAGGTATGCTCGATGTGTTATTTGATCATTAAGATTGTTTTGATATAAATTTTAAGGCGGGATACACACGTGACGTTTGATTCTTCGAGCCGTATAAAACGTTAACCTTATTTTTTAATACACCACCTTTCTCCTTCTCTCTCTTTCTCTCTCTTTGTACCTCCAGAGTCTCTCCAGTCTGAACTCTGCTCGATTTCACACTTCGTTCCGTACAAAAGGGCGCTTGTCACCCTCATCACATTCTCACTCAGGTCCCATTGTTCCGGGATAAAGGGCGAAGCTTTTGTTACCCGAGAAAATCTTGTACGCAGCCATACAAACTGGGACAGTCGATCTAGATTGTACTAAGTACGCACTACCATACTTGTTTTAACAATAAACAAAAGATTATAGATTACTCAGGAGTCTCGAGGCGTCTTCCCAGCGAGTCCTTCGGCTATAATCCAAAGTAAATTTAGCTAATCCACAGTATATCATACAATTACCCATAATCCTAAAGCTTGCCAATATATTAATTTTCTACATCCTACGCGTAACCTCCAGCACTGTTACCAGCTTGACGTATACCGGATCGTTAATGCGAGAAGCTCGAATCGAGGTTCCCGCCTTCGCAGGAGCAAAAGTAGGAGGATCCATCTCGTATCCTTTTGTACTAGGTGGTCGCACGAGCCGCGTGGCGAATCGTTCGGGGAAGCCACAGGAGTACGTCTTCCCTCGATGTCTTCCGGGTGGTCTAACCCACGTTAAAGAGTAGCAGCAGCGGCAGCAGCAGCCTCTAGTCCAGAATATACCATAGGCTATAACGTATAGAACGTAAACTCCACGTCCAGGTTAGAACAGAACCCTGCCAAGTTTATGGGTAGGTTATGTGGGCACGTTGCCAGGGTGGCCGATGATCCTGGTGCATCCGGAGTGGTTTTCAGTATAGCGCCAGATGAGGTTAGGTACATCCATCTATAGATAGTCGCCGCGTGGGCGTTCGTGAGTATCGAGAAGTTTATCGGTTAATTCGTATGCAACGAGCTCCCGCTCGTTAGTCTATGACTAATTATGTCTCGTTATAGATTAATGCTTAATTACCATCCAGCCGAGATTCCACGACCAGTTTTGTATCTATCAGTTTGATCTCCCAATACCGAGACTCTTTAGTAGATTACAGTTGGTATATACCCGGTAACAATGTATACATATATAGAAGCGTATGGCGCATCTTCAGAACGAATATGTGTGTGTGTATATATATATATATATATATATATATATATATATATATATATATATACGTATAACGGCTGAACGTTGGAAAAGCGTCAGAACTATTAGCTGAAAATGGCATTTGAATTCCTATCCTTTGATATGCACGTTGTTGACACGAGCAGATAAACGCATCCGCATTTTCTATGCTTTGATGGGAGAGACGTATTCCTATCCACGTATGCTATGTGGATACAGCATCCTGAGCACCGTCCCGACACGTATCTCGTTATCATTTAAGGATGATTACGAAACGCGCAGCGTGCGGCTGCTTTGAAGAGACGATGATTGCGCTCGCGCGAAGATGAGCATGGAATCACGAAATGCTTTAATCTTTCTCTTCTGCGTAGACACACGTGTAGTCGCGATACTCTCTATTCCTTTATAACGTATAGCGCTTAGACGTATATCCATCCATCCATCCATCTGTCTATATTTCCATGAATTTTTCATCCTCCCATTCTTGGTATCCCAGCGCAAAGGTTGTAATAGACATGTGGGTTAGGTACACCTCCTCCAGTTACCGTCTGATGAATGGATGCTCCTCACCTCCAGTTCATCCTCCCGCGATGATGATGATGATCCTCCCTACTCGTGGATGCTCACAATGACAGATCTGGGTTGCGGCGGTTACGCCGCTGTTGCCTCACGATCGCCAGGAACGCTGCTCTTAAATACATTGAGAAAAGACAGACCCAATCAGAAAACTCGTCATTAAGATCACCCACTGAATCTTCCGTGGCACGTAATTTTTATGAGGAAAAAAAAAAAAGTAAAAAATGCCTACCAGTCGAAAGGGTGCTGGCACTCGTCAGTCTGATCATGATTCACGTCTGGATTGGGTCATATATTGGTTTATGGACCGAGCGTCAGTCATCAGCCTCCGAGCAATCTCCACATTTCCATCATCGTCTCGTTAGAGCTGCCTATCGATCCCCCGGGAATTGATCTGGCGTAACGGTGGTAGTGAGGTACACTGGTAGATACTCAGGAGTCTCGTGACACGTTGAAAATGTGGTAAACGACGGTGCTACCTTAAAGGGCATTCATATGTGGGACCATCTCGTACAGGTACCTTATACCCAAGTCCGACAGCAGACCCGGTGTATCATGTACCTGTTCTAATGCCTGGTCCAGGTACCTTCTCCCAGTCGATACGTCCTGTGCCGATCCATTATTATCTTCGATCAAAATATGCGAGCGTTGCCGATCCGCCGGCAGCAGCCAGCGTCATAGACAGCTGGTATCTTTATCGTATCGATTCGGCTGACAAACTGGAGGATAGCGCAAGACGAATAGCCGATCTGCATGAGGTATGGAGTCGTGCGCATTGCGATTAGTCAGGAAGACTCTACGTCGTGCTCTAATGGGCATCGTTAGCCGTTTCGCTTTGGCGTATGTAGCTACATACGTACGTACGTATGGAGGAGGCTTTACGTACCCTACGCGTTGGTACTTTACCTGTATCTGCCTAGCAAACGATCCAGCTGCTGAGTTCGCATCCAGCCCAGCTACCTGATTACGTTCTCTATACGAGACGTCTGGCTGCATAGATCGTCGTTTATTGGGATTCCAGTGGAGGCTTAGTGACGATTCCAGGTACGATTAAAGTATCTTCGTTCAGTCTTTCTGCACCGCGTTCAAACTGTCGAAGAGTGTCCCGGGTACAAAGTGCTCCAGAGGATGATGTTCTACTCACTTTTCAGCCAGCGCGATTCCAGCCGTGCCCGGCTTTTTCTTACGGGGTCTCTCTCGTTATACGCGTGACAGAAGTGGGTCGAAACACGGGTGCGGTAGCCAGTCACGGAGAAGGTATACGATCTCATTCCGCGCACGAGGGTAATGATAATTAATCCACCAGAGAGCGCTCCTTATGTCGGACCCTGGTCGGCTGCCCAGGCTGTTCTAGCCCGGTGTGTATATACGTCGCACTGATAGGTTAGGTATAGAGGCTGAGGTCAGCTGTGTCGGTTGTGCCGTTGGCGATCGTTCTGCTGGCCTCTCCCTGTTTCCCATTAAACGATTAATAACGTCATCGGGTACGCGTTACCGTTTCAGGACTGTCCGGTTAACCCTGCGGAGTTTCGCGGAAACTATTTCAAATAGAGTAATAAGAATTTGTCTCGTTAACGTCTCGACGCACTGGCTATACGTCTATGGCGGCCGAGTCGTGTTTCGAGTCCGTGGGTACGTAGTACCGCTGAGCGACGCTTGTCGTTAGAGTTACGCGTCTCCCCGCCAGGGCGCAGCACCGCCGCGAAAACACATTGTCATAAGCGAAGCGAATGCACGAATAGACGTCTCTCCACCTCGAGTGTGCCGAAGATTTATTACCTTCGTGGCTCGGGCACGAGTTCGCCTCAGACTTTCCCAGGTACGTTGTGTTCCACGTTCCGTGTTGTGTTCTTACGTTTGCCATACGTCTGCTGTACCGCACTGTTTCCTACGTTCTTACCGTTGTTACTCGTTGCTAGCGATGCATCCCATCGACGCCCGCGTTCCTGCCGGTGGCTATATATATATACGTATATGCAAGTACGATCATAGCTCGGCTTCACAGACCCATACGAGTACAAGAACAAGGTAATGCTATTTCGAGCCATTAGTATAAACACAATGAGGTAATCGTGACGCGGGGATGGGATCGCGTGAACGCCGACATGATTTAGAAATGCGGCCATGTCGAAATCGGAACATGTGTCGGAGATGTGGCCCCGGTCGGAGTCGTGCACTCGTGATCCTTGCGCCGGCAGGAACACGTTATTTATGCAATCCCTTCTGCCTCGCACTATCCGTACGGTTCTGTCGAGGAGAAAGAAAGAGTGGAAAAAAAGAGGCAGGTGGATGAAAGGAAAAGAATCAGTAGGGACAAAAAAAGGTTATGTGTGTACATGCTACCCGTCGATACAGTCTTGACTCTTGCGAAAGACTACGCATGCGTGCCAGGCTATCGGTAACCTCTTCTTCGTGGTGCTTTTGTACCACCGGGTATACGGGCATTGTGCTCGGCCATGTTCACGATGTTCGAGAATCCCGGACTGTTCGGCGTTCCCTATGTGGATCCGTGCTTCGGGGATACGTGAAATCATCAGAGACGTTGGCCCTTCCGGGCACGAAACACGCGAGCCAACGAAATCACCACTGACTACCATTCGCCTCGTCGTTCCTACCCGAAGCGTCGCGTCCCGTTGGCAGCACCGGTCCTTATCTAAGGAGAGCAACAGACTGCGAACAATTTGCCGGTGCCGGGCTTCCAAAAATAAATCACGCAACGCCGATCATTAAGGCCCGGACTCATCCTCAGGGCGAGGCAGCCGCAAAAAAAGCATATCCCCGACTTACCTTCGAGAAATTATGCAGACCGCGTGCTGGATGATGGTAGGTTGGTAGTTACCCAGCCTACGGTTTGCGAATACTCGTGAATTCAAAACTACCTTAATGTAGAGCGTGTACCGGACACGTGGCGCTTTTATACCTTTCTCGATAACGACCGTCCGCAACTCAGTCGTTGCAGCGTGTAGTACAATTTTTTTTGAGACACCCTGTACATTCGAAAATTTATATTTTCAATCTCAGTACTTCTTGCGTATCTGTGGTGGTTTTTGTGTCTCGTTCGAAAAATTTTTTTTTTAAATTTACCATTTGTATGGACTGCATTTATTTTTGAATCGTCCTGTACGATAAGACTGAAGTCGGTCTGTCTGTCGGTCGGATGCTGCCGCCGGGGACAATTACGCAGATGTGTGGCTGGCTGGACGCGTGAGCGTGGCGTGCAGTCAGACCCCGGTTGGGGTACGTGCGTGTTGGGGCACACCTACATAATGTAAACCCATGCTCCCGTCGTGAATTAGCATTATCCTGTGCCGGTCGGCGTATGTGCACCTATGAAAAACGGACGTACGTCACGTGTGTGCGTGCTGGTTCACTCGGTGTGATTACAGAGCGCGAGCCTCCGGTTGCCCCCGGCGCGTGCGTCCCCATCAAGTACGTATCCTCCCAGTTCCACGTTCCAAGAATCTATACGTTGTACCGGTAGGAGGGCCCCATTTGGGCCCAGGACCCGCAGCAGTTTAGCACACTGCTCGTTAGAAATTATGTTTGCCAATAAGCCGAGGAACTTTGTTGAAAATTCTTGGAATCGATTGCTGTTCGGATCCCGGAGTTCAAAATCCTTTTTTTTTTCATTTATGTACGTTCTTACGAATTTTATTATTTTATCTCTCGAACCTTCCGGAAATTGGCTCCGCTCGGAGGGGGGGACTTAGAAATTATTCGAAACACTCGAATAACGGCTCGTTTCTACGGTTTAACCGACGAAACGATAATACCCGACCCAGTGAACTTTCGCCGGTATTAAATTGTGCTGGGAATTTACACGGGAGTGCTGCCCGGTAATTGCGGCTTGATGCAACAAAACGGAATTCCGGAATTGGGCGTGTGCGTTGTTATCCTACTTTTTTATATACTTCGGTACACGTCATTTAAGTACTTTATCCCTATACAGGGTATATCTTTGCTCTGGTCGCTATCTGAAAAATATTCATAACCTATAACCCTTTATACGTGGACGGCACTAAGAGCCGGTGTCATCGACAAGATTTACGCACGGATGCGCTCACAACCGTGAACCGTGCACCGTGGCAGACAAGCCGGCCATCATCATTACGCTGATCTACATCTACATTGTCATTAGAGAACCCGACCGCGGCACATAGTCCTCAAGAAACAGCCGATACGTAGTCGGCGACGCTCAGCCAAGAGATTCGTGCGATCACCTGCGTGAAGCAGAGCCGGTCGTGGTGAATAAAGGGGACAGCGGAAAGGGGAGAGACGGGTCGAATTTTATTAACGTAAAAATAAAAATGAAAATTTCGAAGATAAATTTTGAAAATATAAAAATGAGTACGATCGTTAAAAAGTTTGAGGTGGAGTCGAGGTGGATCGCTAGGAGGTGGTGGATGAAGAAGAGAAACGGGATAGATGGTATCTCCCCGCATTCTACCTTACCGACGCTCACTCGTCTTCCTGACCAATCCCGATCACTGTTATTACGTCGTCGATCCTCATCCGTCCACGCATCGCTTACTCGTCCACGATCTTTTTGCGTTCCGTTCCTGATTTTACGCGCTATCGCATTCCCCGTGGATCGTAACTCCGTGTCGATCGCATCGAATCGGCTCTGTGACTTTTTGCGCCTTTTGTCTTCTTTCCCTTAAATTACAAAGGACAGACCTGCGGATGCGAGAGGATACACCAGGATTAGACGCGACAGGTATGACACGAGCAAATCGGAGCCAACTGACCGAGTAGCCTCGATTTTTCGAACAGCCTCAAAATTGGTCTCGGGTACTTAATGATCAGTGATTAGGAATGAGATTGCAGTGCGATTGCGCGGAGTCCCATTTGTCCTTGGATACTTTTAAGCGGAAAGGCCCCGAACAAAGAGGCTACAGGGAGCAATTCACAAGCCCGGGCAACGACGCCAATCGCCGTGGATGGATCCGAAGGTCATAGGTCAGCGATACCAAACTTGGATATTCAGGTAGCGTTATTGACAGGCGCCCAATCGAAATTGAGCAATTACTCGGAGATAATTAGGCGGTTTATAACTCTATAAATTACTCGAGGCAGTGGCGGGTCGCGGCGACGGCGGCGTCGGCGTCGGCGTTCGCGTCGGCGGCGAGCCTTCTGAAGATCTCCAAAGACAATGGGTCTCTCGGTTATAGAAACAATGCCGGGTCTGCTTCGGTGCACGGTTCAGCGCTATAAACAATACCCAAGAGGGGCCCGGCTGATAGGGTCAGAGGGTCAGCCCCCGCGGGAGCTCATGACCCTCTTTACTTCTCTTCATCTACCTCCTGCTCCTTCTCTCTCGTCTCCTCTCCTGCGTATTCACTCACCTATACTCCTATCCTTACCCAAGCAATTCCTTCTTTTCTTCTCCTCGTACACGCTTCTCGCTCACCGCATCGACGTCCGTGTAAAGTTCGTATCTGCGTACGGGTTACGCTCTTCCATACCAGGACCCCGATGGAATTGCGTGGCCCGTGATTGGCTCCGGGCGGTATGACGGAAATGAGGAAAAAAGTGAAGCGAAACGTAACGCCAAGGAAACCCGCGAGATCCCTTCGAGAGATATCCGCGGGTGTACCGGCAGGCTTTAAATTCGAAAGGCGCCGAGAAATGCGAGACAAACGAGCGCGCGCCGTAGCCTCGAAACCGGCACCTTTTCCACCTTAATAAATTCTTACTTCGTTACCCTCGATATCTGGAACGCCGGCGCGGCGACTCTCTAGGCACACGGTGCGCGTACGCGCGGCTATACGAATTGCGCTGGGCGCACGGGATACGCGGCGTGGCTGCCGGGAGGCTTCGGCACGGGTCAGGCCGAGGTCGGGTAATGACGGACCGAACTCTGCAATCACAGGAGCGCGCCACGCCACGTGGCTTGCCGATCCGCGACTAACGCTCTGTGCCCTCGTGCTTTCCATGCCGAACACTACCATCTAGGATAGATCGGAGCAATTTTTTTTTTTTCATAAAAAATAAATTACTAAGCGTGGAGTTTTTTTTTTGGTTTATTTATCTCTTTTAGTGGAGACTATAGTTTGAAATTTCTTGACGTCTTTTTTTTTTCTTTTCGTCTCCTACGGGTACCCGTGGTCGGGTATGGGGTCAGGCCTCGTTCGCAATGCACGGTGTCATGGGATTAAATGACCGGTGGTCCCGCGAGGTGGGTCCCTCTCGCTCCCATGGAACTATGGGTTCGATAAGAAGCGTAGAATTTCTATAGCGTCGAGTCACTGCCTTGTAATTACATACCGCGAGCCAATAGGGGGTCTCCATCGACAATTAGGCCATTTTGGCTCCCTGTTTACCGTTCGATCGATCCCATTCGACGATAAACACACTCGCGTGCATTATTTCTTCCGATGCACTGAAAAAATAGTCTCTATCCGGAGGTGCGCCCGCGCGAGTTCACGTAACGATCTTAAAATCCACAGCGACGTAGGGCTGATAGTGCAATCGGTTAATCGAGTTAATATTAAATCGGTGTAAACCCTCCGGGTGACTCGGGGCCCAACCACAACGCAATTATCGCGAGGCCGCCCTATCATAATTATACGACTCGCGCGTATCTCCGACTACGATCGCCGGTACATTATTCACAAACGAGAATAACAGTCCTGGCCGCTACCGTAAATGCAACGAGCCGACGCCAGCGCGCCACGCGGGACAGTTTAACAACGAACAATTAATTACAGAATCGCCCGCTAGAGCGCGATGTATTTACGGCCGAACCAGGACAACTTTATCGCCCGGCCTTTTAACCGGGCATTTAATATTTCCTTGCGAATCGCAAAGAGC